TCATTATACTTGAAGTTCTGATTTAATCAGGGCACCCTACAACCCATAGACTCAATTTAGTTTCTTGGGTACTTCAGGTGATTATGAAGGGCAGGCCCCCAGTGAGGGGACTGGGTGCAGAGTCGAACCTAGGTTGATGGGTTCCGATGAGTCAAAGGAAAGTCTAAGCAAATGTTGGCAGCCTCTAGTCAAAGGTGATTAAAACTGTTGCTTCACTGAAATGATATTAAACCAATGTGGGTAACCATATATGTAGGGGTATTCAGACACTCAGGAACATAGCAATTGCACAGAACATGCAATTGCTGACCACTGCATGTCATGCCTGGATATTTAACTTCCACAAAACCTAGAAAATAGCTTCCACGGGAAAACAGCGCAGACTTTGCTTCAAACAGAAAGAACTGGCTACTGTTTTTCCCACACACTCAATCCAAAGGTAAGTATCACTTTTAGTGCCCTCCACATCTTCTACCTGATCCAACCATATAGGATGCTTCCAAGAAGTTTTACCTTAAATCTCATTGAGAGATTCCAGAATGGAAGATTTCCAGAGCAACAGCAATGGCTGTTCCCAGTTTCCTGGGGTCTGAAGCACAGAATGTGAGTGCCTGTCAAGTGCCTCTGATAGAATCACTGGCTAATCCAGCATTAGAACTCAGGCACTCCCAGTGCCCAGATTCAAATTACTAGACTGTCTCTTTCCCAAAACAGCAAATCCCCCGACATCTCCAGCACTCCCTGAGGTTACACAACATGGGGAACTGAGGTCAAATAAGTCTATTCCTTCTACTCATCTTCTCCCCTGAGAAGCCCTTTCTTCCCTTGACAACAATTGATAATTAAGGCTTTACTAAGGAAAAGAATATGTGGTGGGTTATTGCCTAGAGACAATTCTCCGCAAGTTTTCATTCCGTGAATGTTGTCAAAGTATTTAGAAATGACAGTGAGATGCCATATGCATTCCTAACATTTTCTTTTTGTATTTTTAGGTATAATGACAATCTACAGTCATGTACCATACGACCAAGGTTCTTGACTTTTGCAGCTCTGACATTGGCACTGCCACTATGTAGTAATAATGATGAGAGCTCAGGTTTCATGTGCACTTACTCTATATTGAATATAGTACTTTAGACACTTAGTTCATGCCTTGTCCAAAACCAAGCAGCTAATAATTTGCAGAGCCTGGCTCAAAGTGGCTCATAGTCTGTTTTTATTTTTATATTTTAATGATACTATTTATCTGTATAAACTTAAGACACTGTAAAGGTAATTGATATCTTTTGTGGTATCTTTTTGTATTTTTTAAATTGACAACAATTGTATATATTTATGGTATACAACATGATGCTTTGAAGTATGTGTATATTGTAAAATGGCTATATTGAGGAAATTAACATATTCATTACCTCATATACTTTTTTTTTGTCATGAGAACGCAAAATCTACTTTCTTTGAGGTTCTCAAGTATACAATGCACTATTTTAACTGTTGTCACAATGTTGTACAGTACATTTCTTGAACTTATTTCTACTGAAATTGTGTATCCTTTGACCAACATTTCCTGAATCCCCTCTTCTCCTGCCTCCTGGTGACCGCCATTTTACTTTCTGCTTCCATGCGTTTGCTTTTTTTAGATTCTTCATATAAGTGAGATATTTGTCTTTCTGTGTCTGGCTTATTCCACTTAACATGATATCTATTTAAGTACAAAATATGTGTCCTTGCCAACTGCATTACCTACAGTACTGCAATATCATGCCATATTTCAATGCATGTGTGTATGTCTATGTGTGTATTACATATGTATGTGTGATGTACTTGTGTGTATATATGTGTATAATGTGCATGTTGTTTCATAAAAAACTTGAAGCAGCCTACATTTTTAAAAAATAATTTCAACATTTATTTTAGATACGGGGGTGCATGTGAAGGTTTGTTACATGGTTATATTGCATGATGCTGAGGTTTGGGGTCTGGATCCCTTCACTCAAGTAGTGAGCATAGTACCCGTTAAGTAGTTTTTCAACCCCTGCCCCCTTCTGCCTTCCCGCTTCCTCCCCCTCTTCCTCTTCCTCACCCCTCCTCCCCCTCC